ACGAGCCGAGGGCCCTATGTCATTGGCAACACCCCTGTGCTTACCAGCTGATGTCATCTATGCTAATGAGGTGAGGTCCCTATGCAAATGAGCAACACCCTATGCTAATGAGCTGATGTCATCTGTGCTAATGAGGTGAGGTCCCTATGCAAATGAGCAACACCCCTATGCTAATGAGCTGATGTCATCTATGCTAATGAGGTGAGGTCCCTATGCAAATGAGCAACACCCTATGCTAATGAGCTGATGTCATCTATGCTAATGAGGTGAGATCCCTATGCAAATGAGCAACACCCCTATGCTAATGAGCTGGTGTCATCTATGCTGATGAGGTGAGGTCCCTATGCAAATGAGCAACACCCCTATGCTAATGAGCTGGTGTCGTCTATGCTAATGAGCGGAGGTCCTTTATGCTAATGAGTCAGTGTCCTTATGCTAATGAGCCGAGGGGCTGCAGGTGGAGTTCCGCAGGAGGTCCTGGGGCTTCTGGAAGGGCGCCACCTTCCCGCCTTCACTCCTCGGGGACCGCGTCCTCTGTGACCTCGCTGTGACCAGCCAGGAAACCAAAGCTGCATTGTGACCCTGGAGGGACAGACGCCTGTCTGGGCGGTCCCCGGGCATGTGTCCTGCTGCCTGCTTGCTGTGTGTCTTGACCTCTCTGTGCCTCGCCTGTGACATGGGATTCTAGCGACCCCAGCACCCCACAGCAGGCTTTGAGGGTGGCAAAGGGACCCTGGCGTGTGTCCCCATGTGACCTGTGACCCACTGACAGGAAAAGTCCAGAGCAGCAAATCCTCAGAGGCTGGCAGGGGCTGGGGAAAGGCACGGGGAGTGACTGACTGCCATTAGGGATGGGGTCTCCTTTCAGGGGAATGGAATGTTCTGGAACCCAAGAGAGGTTACAGGAATTCCCGAGGGAGGCCACACACACAGCAGTGGTGACATGTGATTCCTCGTGCCTCAGACACAGCCAGGTGGCCACGGAGAAGCAAGCCTTGCTTTTCTATTCACACAGGGACAACACTGAGAGGGGGTGGGACCTTTAAGAGGCGGGGCCTGGCAGGGGCGTGGCCTCAGGAATTGACAGGCGTCTTTCTCCAGGGACTGTGCCCACAAGGGAAGCAAAGCTGACGTTTGTTGAATGAATAAACGATTGACAATGCAACGCACCTCTTCCCCCAAGTTTAGCCCTGAGCCTCTGTTCTCTGGTGGGACTTACTAGGGGGTCATTCCAAAATCGGGGGGAGGGGGGCTCAGCCAGAAAAGCTGGGAGGCAGCCGGGTCCCTGTCGAGGGGGGCCGGGCCGGGCGCCTGGCTGGCAGGGGCATCCGTGGCGTGACGAGGCCTTTTCCACTCTGTGGTCGGGCTCCGGCCCCGACAGCCATAAAACGGCCCCGCTGAGACTGGGAACATTTTCCCTCCACGTGTTCCTGCCGGCGCTGGCGCAGCCCGAGGAAAATTCCAGGCTAATACGGACAGAGGTCGCCGGCCTCCACCAGCCTCCCCATCCGCAGGGAGGCCTGGGGTCCCCAGCGCTGTCAGCGCACGGTCCACTCTGAGACGGGTGGACCCCACACACCCCGGATGGCGGGTGGCCGTCCACAGGACCTCCCACAGCTCCCTATTGCCCTGGACGGGACCGCAAAGTCACCTCAGGACCTGTCAGGCTCCAGAGATGCCACCTTGTTCTCTGTCACTTCCAAGCCTCGGGCCACACTGGTCCCCACCTGAGCACCTCGGTGGCCTCTTATCCAGCCTCTAACTGTAACTTCGAGGTCCCTCCTCATGGCCCCCCAGGGCTGCATGTGCACCCGCCATCACAACTCCAACCACCTTGGCATTTACTGAAGGCCAAGTTTGGGGTTACATGTCTTGGTTGTGCCTGGGACTCGGGCACGCCAACTTTGTCATTGAGGCAGACCTGGCCCTTTGTCCCCAAGAAGACATTGTCATTTGCTACAGTTCCACAAGGGTCCTAACTTCGCGAAAACAGCCAAAAAAGATAATTTCTAAGCATGAAGGGCGCGTGGAAGAAATCCCTGGAATTCTCTGCCTGGCTTCTCTCCTGTTGTCATTTATTATTATTCGTTTTTTTGTTTAGCGACAAAGTTACCCTACGTCGCCAAGCTGGCCTCAAGCCTTCCTCCCGCCTCAGCCACGGTGCCTGGGTTTGGGGGAGGTGTCTTGAGGTGACAGTTAAGTGAAGGCCTGAGTGACAGAGGAACTATGTGACTAAGGACCCAGAGGTCAGCTTGTGCCAAGGTCCCGGGGCAGGAATGGGGGTTGGTTGGTGGAGGAAAAAGTGGGTGGAACAGAGGGCGGGAGAACAGAGACGATGGCTGGAGCAACGAGCCCAGCTCAGATCACGAGGCCTTGCAGATTGCCGGGAGGAGGTGAGTGTCACTCTGAGCAGAAGGGACTCATGGAGGGTGACGGTGACCCCAGGAACTGGACGGCGTCCATGGGAGTGGCCGGCAGGGCTACGCCACGGCCCAGTGGCCTTGCGGGGGGGGGGGTTGGCTCTGGTTTTGAGCGTCTGGCTGCAGTGACGAAGGTTAAAAAAATAACCAGCGGCCGGGCCAAGGCGTCGCCACTGGTGGAAAAAACATGGCCCCGACAGGTCAGGAGGGCAGAAGGCCGGGTGTCAACGCCTCTGGCCACGAGACGTGACTCAGTTTCCCTGCTGGGATCCAGGGAATTCTGCTACAACCGTGTCCCCAAGCTGGTCCAGGGGTGGACAGGGGTCCTGGACTTCAGTCGTTCCATTTACACCTTTTGGGTAGCTGGTATTATAGCTGCGAGCCACCACACCTGGCTTGGTGGTTGAGATGGGGTCTCATGAACTTTCTTCCCCTGACTGCAGTCCTCCTCCTCATGTCTGTCCTCTCCCCGACCACTGGACTCACGGGACACGGCAAAGATGGTGACATTTGAAGTTGCATGTTTCCCCCACCGTGAAACATGAAAAACTTTTTAAATGGAAAAACAGAAAGGAAAGCAAAGGCGGTGGACACTGGAGTCCGGGCCTGCCTGTCACTTGCTGTGGGACATGAAGCGGGTGTCTTGGACTCCCAGGGCTGCTCTCTCTCTAACTCCAGGCTTCAGGGTTGGGGTCACCACGGCCACGACCGCCAGCTTCATGACCGGGGTGAGGGGACCGCACGTCACTTGAGCAGGATGACCAGGACGGGAGGCCACTGCAGGCCACTCCTCTGTGCCCGCCGGTCACTTGGAAAGAACAGGCTGGCGGGGCAGCTGTTCCAGGCGGGCTTGTTTCCTGTGCTGTTCAAGGTTGCCTGGCACCCGGGGTGGCCAGGAGGCCAGCGGAGTGGGGACAATGCCAGGCCAGCCCTGCAATGGCCCCAAGGACAACCTTCCTGGCAAGGCTGGGCCACAGCAGGGCCCCCCAGTCCCCTTCCCTGCAGCCAGAGGCTCCTAGGACTTGGCTCTTGGAGGTGGAGGCAACAGGAAGACATCTGTCACCTGCCGGGTCACCAGGAGCCCACGGGGCTCTGCACCTGCCGGGACGCAGACCCCAAATGCACCAAGCGCTGACCCCGCCCCCTGCAGCCTCCAATAGGCCGGCCACGCCCACGGGACTGGCCAATCAAAACGCGGGCATGCACCAACCACCGTGATTGGTTCACGGATGGCTGAGAGACAGGAGCTGGGCCAATGAGAAGCAGCCCTGAGATCTTTGCTTGGCCTATCAGGAGTTTCCGCTGCACAGGGGGAGGCGGGCTCAGGGTACTTGGGCCTGAAGCTGGGGCGTCATTTTGGTCAGTTAAGGGACAGCAGGGCAGCTGAGCTGAGAGACACAAATCAGCCCCGTGACAAGATGTTACCTGACACCAGCCAACTAGGACAGCTGTACCCCAAAACCCAAGGGCAAGCACTGGCCAGGTGTGGCAGCTCACGCCTGTAATCCCAACTACTCGGGAGGCACAGATCAGGAGGATCGAGGTTGGAGGCGAGTCTGGGTGCAAAGCAAGACCCGATTTCCAGCCTAACCAGGGAGAAAGAGCTGGAGGAGAGGCTCAAGGGGTGCAGCGCCACCTAGCAAGGGTGAGGCCCTGAGTTCGAATCCCGTGCTGTAAAAAAATACAGTTGAAATGCTACGCTTGCTGCTGTGTGCGTCATCACAGTGAAGAGAGGAGGAGGAAGGGGTGACAGAACCACAGTCCCGATCAGGTTCCTGGATTCAGCCGTGCCTGAAGGTGGCCCTGCTGGTGTCTTCAGCTATTGAGCCAACCTGTGCCTCGCTGGGTCCAGCCGGTGTCACATAGGCTTTCTGTCCCTGAGAGGAAAGGTGTGGGCAGTGTCTCCCACATGCCAGCGATATGAATGACCCCCAGGTGACCAGTTGGATGCTCGGTCCCTTTTACAACATGGTGCAGTGTCGCGCAAAGCCTGCCTGAGTGCCCAGGACCTGATCCAAGGTGACCGCTGGGCCCACGGAGACTGCTGGGGTCCCAGACCCAGAGGGCTCCTGGGCCAGCAGTCGCCACCTCCAGCCTCAGTTTCCCCTCTCTGCATGGGCTGGTTCTTACGGACATCGCCTGTAGAGGTTGCTGGACAACTAGGGTGGGGAACCTTCCCTGGGGGCTCGAGCAGAGGGGGAAACTGAGGCCGGGGGCCACTGCAGCAGGCAGCTTGGGTGAGGTCCTGTCTCCCATGAAGTCACACAGGTGGCTGCACAGGCCTCCTTGACACCCCAAGGGAGACAGGTGACGCATGCTGACACTGCCCACTGCTGTCTCTCCCTGCCTCCTCGGGGTCCTGTGGCTTCCACCGCCCTGGGTGTCGTCACTTCCGTGGTTGGCGGCCAGGCTGTGGGTTCTGTGGCCCCAGGAGTCACAGTTCTGTGGCTGCTGCTGTCCATGGTCCCAGGGCTGCATGACTCCAGTGGTCACAAGTCCGCTGTCCTTGGTCCTCTGGCCCTTTCTGTGGGCTCTGGGTGTTTGGTTTCCAGAACTTTCTGGTGCTGCAAAATGGTCATTATGGACCTGTGGGACCTCATGGGACCAAGGGACCACCCCACACCACCCCGATGACAAGCATGGCCAGAGCGCCCTTCCCAAGGGCAGCGTGGACCGGTCAGGGTCCCACTCCCACCCACGGTTCCCAGGGGCTGCGACGTGAACAGTCGTGGAGGACCAGGCACAACCTGGGCCACACTGGAGGACCTGTAAGTTAGAGGGCGTAGGGTCATCATTACACCAACCCCACACCCACAATCCACCCACCCCACCCACCCACCCACCCATCCACCCACCCATCCACCCACCCATCCACCCATCTACCCATCCATCCATCCACCCATCCATCCATCCACCCACCCATCCACCCATCCACCCACCCACCCATCCACACATCCATCCACCCATCCACCCATCCATCCATCCAACCACCCATCCACCCATCCATCCACCCATCCACCCATCCATCCAGCCACCCATCCACCCATCCATCCAGCCATCCACCCACCCATCCACCGACCCATCCACCCACCCATCCACCCATCTACCCCACCACCCATCCCACCCCCCCATCACACCACCTACCCATCCATCCATCCACCCACCCATCCACCCATCCACACATCCACCCATCCATCCACCCATCCACCATCCACCATCCACCCACCCACCACCCATCCACCCATCCACCCACCCACCATCCACCCATCCACCCATGCACCCATCCACCCATCCACCCACCCATCCACCCATCCACCATCCACCCACCCATCCACCCACCCACCCATCCACCCCTCCACCCATCTACCCATCATCATCCATCCATCCATCCACCCATCCATCCACCCATCCACCCATCCGATCCACCATCCATCCACCATCCACCCGATCCACCCATCCATCCACCCATCCACCCATCACCCATCCACCCATCCATCCATCCACCCATCCACCCCTCCATCCATCCATCCACCCACCCACCACCACCCATCCACCAATCCACCCATCCACCCATCCATCCACCCATCCATCCACCC